TATTCACTAATGTTAAACTGATCTTCCCTCCAAAGAGAGTAAATTAAAGAGGTTCTGGGATTTGGAGAAAAATAGCTAAGACCAGCCATAAGGCACTTGGACATCCCTTCACTGATGACTTAACTTAGGGGAAGTATGGCAGAGCCGCACAAGAAGACTCCCAAAGCACATGTTGTAGCTTGGCTTCTATTAAGCCAATCCTGCTGCCCCAGGTCTCTAAAGTTTATCTCCCATGATCCTGCCCTGCTCGTCTTTGTCATCCAGAGTCACTGCCCTGGGTACTAAATGCTTTCCTCTTTGATGTCCTGCTCTCCTGCCTTCCCTATCCACAAGAATCCTACCCCAGCTTGCTCTTTTTGGCTTTCCTTGATACTTCCCTTTATGACCAGTTTCCATCTCCCATAGCTTCATTCATTCGTCGGACATTTGCTGTGCTCCCTGAAGTTAGGGATTGTCTTTCTTGCTTATGTTTGTATTCTCCACTTGATACAATGCAGGACATATAACAGAATGATTGCTCAACCAATGCATTTTGATTCCTTGATTCCTTGATTTCCTGATGCAAGCAAGGCACTGTGCTCTCCACTGGAGATGAAGTTGTTTTCTGCCTTCATAAAACTTCTCGTACCCCCTGGCATTGAGTGAAGTCTAGCTTCCTCTCTATGGAAATCACATCTCTTGGCATCCTCTTCAGTGCTGGAAGCTTCTTCTTTTAATCCCTTACATCCTCCCCCTCCCTCCCCTTCCACAGCCTGTTAGGAAAAGGAATCAGAATCACTCACCTTCCAAACCTTTGTCCTGCCATTATCAATAAATAACCTGGTCCTCTCCTGATAAGAAGCATCAGCATTAGATTATTTCCCCAGTTCTTGCTGCTGCAGTCTACTGACCTCAGGGATTGTAAATTTCTTGAAGACAGGGACTATCTTTTGCCTCTTTTTTTGTCCCCAGCATATAGCACGATGCCTGGCACACAGAAGGTGCTTAATAAATGTTTACTGATTGATTGACATCTAGGACTTTAGGTTCACAATCATCCTTTCCATTCTGTCTTCAGACTCAGATACCCATGTTGATGACCCACTAGAGCTTGGCCTCTCAATTACCTAACCTTGCCCATTTCTATGACTCGTACCTCAATGCCCTGAAGTGGACAGAGCACTGGACTCAGGAGGACCTGGGCATGAGTCCTGTCCCGGACACTTACTAGCTAATGTCCCTCTGCCAGGCAAACCGTGGGATTTCTCTGGGCCTTAATTTCCTCATTTGGAAAATGAGGGGTTTGGACCAGGTGGTCTTTAGGCTCTCTTACATTTTAGAACTATGTTCCATGTTCATAGATACTGTGTTCCCAACACGCTTAGCCTTGGATGGCAACCACTGTCTGCCTTCTCTACCTATTCCTGAGTTACCTGGCACTGTGGAAGGAAATCAAGACATTCTGTTGTCTACCTGCGCTAAAAATGATTGTTATCTAACTTTAACTAGGCTCTCAGTGCCTCAAAGGAAGTATTTTATTACTCTCTATCTGATTCTCTATGGCATTCACCACAGCAGCCATTCAAAACCCACTTTTGTTGCCCTCTCTCTAAGTAGATGGCTTTGCTATCATGCTTTGCTAAGCCTATTGAGGATGACATGGAATTCTCTTGGCTCCTTTGCTTTATACCTTAGAACCTCTGCCTGCCTTCGCCTAGTCTCTCTGACTTTCCCTCTGGTCTCAGAGGATGATATGGTCCTTTTCTTTTTCGAGGATAATCCCTGTCCTTGCATTCTGGATCCCATCCAATATCTCCCTTGAAACTTGGCTCCATGGATCACCCCTATACTTCCATCTTTCACCTTTACCTCTCCTGCTAGATTCTTCCACTCTGGCTTCAAACATGTTCAAATCTCATATCCTAAATAAAAATGAAAACCTCTGTCACGTTCCCAATCTCCTGGCCTTATCACCCCCTCAACCTATTATGTTCTTTCCCTCCTCCACTTTACTGCCAACCTTTCAGAAAAAAAAAAGTAATCCGTTCTCACCATCTTCCCTTTTTATTCACTCATCAATTCCCTCTAATCTGACTTCCATCCCCAATAGACTACTAAAACTAATCACCCTCCCTGTGATCATCAGTCCCTTTTATTTGCAAAGCCAATGGCTTCTCCTTAGACCTCATTCTCCTTGACATTTCTGCAAGATTTTACACTGTGGATTCTCCCTGGTTTTCCTCCCCTACCTGGATTCTTTCTCTTCTCTCAGCATCCATGGTACAATGTCTCCAGTGTTCACTTTCAACCTTTTGGACCATGACTTCATGGTTTTCCTTTATGGCTTTCCCTTTCTCCTCCCCCTCTCTAAGATATCTTTTACTTTCTTCTCTCTTTTTTTTTCTCATTGCTCCCACTGAATTTGCTTATTTGCTTCCGTAGCTTCACTTATCACATTCATGTGGACAGCTCCCAAAGCTATCCTGTCAAGCCCAGAACTCTCCAGACCTTTCCCCTGAGCCCCAATTTTGCTTGGCTGTCTCACTGGTACTAGTCTCAACTTGCCCCCAAATGAACAAATCATTCCCCAACCCCTGCCAAATCTTGGCCTACTTTCCCCAATTTCCATCATTCTCTTTATGACTACTATTCTCCTAGTCATTCAGATTTGAAATGTGGAAGTCACTTTTGACTCTCTCTCCCTACCTCATTCCCCCTTCTACTCCTTACTTTCTGTCCAATCAGTTGCTAACTCTTGTCAGTTTCCCCTCCATTAACATCACTGGAATCCATGCTGTCCTTTCTATTCCTAATGCAAATGCAAGGATTCAGGCTCTCCTTACTTCTTGCCTAGGCTAGCATAACAGCATTCTAACCAGTATTCGTGTTTCCCGCCTCTCCCTTCACCAATTCAACCATACCATTGTTGCTGAGCTAATCTGTCTAAACAACCATAGGGCTACCTTCAGTGACTCCTCATTGCCCAGCAAATAAGATACAAACCCCTTAGCCTATCTTGAAGAGTTTCTATAACCTGGATCCAATTTATTTTTTCAACCCTTTGTGGGCTCTGTACTCCAACAAAAAGGGGATTCTTCTCCACTGCTAGCTATGTGCCAAGCACATAGTGGTAGAAAAAGGGAAATAGTCCTCGTTCTCTAGGAGAGATTTAAGCTAGAATGGATCTTAAATGTCCTTTAATACAATTCTCTAATTTTGCAGATGGGAAAACAGAGGCCTAGGAGGTCAAATGATTTTAATAATACCTGGAATATAGAAGTTCTTAATAAATGCAAGGTGATTTATTGACATAACTGTGAATCAAAGGAAAACACAATGTTTCAATAATCAAAGTTGCAAATGGGTATAAGTAGGCTGCAGTATATTACCCATAATGACTTGCATGTAAGACATGACTTTTTTTTTGAATTGGGACTTTTGCTTTTATTTGTGAATGAGGAACTCTCTGACGTGGAAATTCCCTCGACCGATATTGTTTGGCAACTTGTGTGTAACTTATAGTCTTGTTGTTCTGTCTGGGGCCCTGCAAGGTTAAATGATTTGTCCATAGCACACATCAAAGACAGGACTTGAATACAGGGCTTCCTGATTCCTAGGCTAGCTCTCTGTTCAATGTGCCATGCTGTTTCTTGGCATTCATGACGTCATCCAGGAAATTGATGAGGGGTGTGCACCATGTAGAGATGACAAGGGACGGACAATGGGAGTGCTCTACTAGTATTGCCCCAAAGTCACAAATCCCAGAGAAAGAGCTCCAGCACAGTGGGCAAGTTCTTTATGGATGAGGAAGTTGGATCCATTGGAAATTCTGATGGATTCAGAGTCAGAAGACCTGGATTTGAACCTCAGAACTGCCACTTACTAGTTGTCTGATCTTGGACAAAGTCATTTAAACTCCCTGGGCCTCAGTTTCCTCTCCTTTGAAATAAACCCTTCCAACTTCAAATTTACAACCCTCTGAATTATGGGAGGAAATAGGCAAAAATTACCAAGGATAGGGAGGCCTGCATGGGTTTTGTGACAAACACTGTTAGGAGTCATCCTTCACACCTGTACCTCCATGTTGAGATGAAGGATGCATCAAAGTGTTGGGATATCCAAAAGTATTGCTAGAAATTAAATCTCCTGCCCCTACTTTCTGGAGGTTGTGGGGAGGGAGGATTCCTTTCTAGAACAGTATTTTTTTTTTGATACAAGTCAAATCAACCTGGATTTATTAAGTGTCTACTATATACTAGACATGGAACTAAACATTGGAAACCTTAGCTCACTGAAGGCTTTGCTCATGGGGCTATTTATAACTCAAGCAACTAGATAAAACTGAGGCTGAAATAGAAGGTTATTTTACTACGTATTTTTTTTTTACTAGGAAGAAATTCTACCGGCAGAAAACATTCCCTTTGATTCAATAAGCAAACATCAGCTACATTAGTTTCCCTCCCTTTTCAATATCCCCAATGTCTCTATGGTCAAGAACAGAGGTAAGTAATTCTAATACCATGATGTTCAACAACTTTTTAGAAAATTGATTTACACTTTTAAAGGGAATGAAAATTGTACTATCCACCTGTCACATCCTGGCTTCCTCACTTGTGAATAAAAGAAAATGATGTATTGACTGTAGTTTGAAAAGGGATGGGGCATGAAACTCAAACACAGGGAAAGAGCAGAGAGCTGTGAACACTAAAGGATAAAGGATCCTGCCTCTATTAAGAGCACACATTTTCCTTTTGGCAACAGGAACTTGACATATGAAATGATCATAAATGAAGGTGACTGTTTACCTTTTTCAGTTTGGGCTCATGCACACACATATATAGAAAAGCACACACATGGAATCATGCCAAGAGTTTGATGATGTCATACTGGGATCTTGAGAGATGCTTCACTAAATGGGATGGTATGAACAGAGTGAGTTGGGCTGTTACCAGAGAAAACAGTCTATGCCTTATTGGGGTCAAAATATGAGAGCAACCATGGATTGGAGGGTAGGAGCTTACCGTTCCTGTCGTGCCCAAGGAAAGATGGTTCATCTGTTGCGTCAGGGGGCCCATCATGCTTGCTGGCTGCATTGACATAGTATGGTCCATTGTTGGTGTTATCACAGCACCCTACAAACACACATCATTGCCGTCTCAAAACATGCTCCAAAAAACAGGGAGAAATGGGGTTTCTTAAATACAAACAACATCAGCTAAAAGCCTGTCATGTCAAATGTGTGTATATCCTACAGACAAGAAGAATAAAGGCATCAGTTATTTCCATTTTTGATGAGGCCATTTTGTGCCTATTCTAATTATGTAGCTTCACTGACTTCATTGCTTCTGACAAAATAATGCCCGTGGGTCTGTGGTGAGCGTGTAACTATATGGTGAAAGATGCTTGCCATTAACATTTTCAGAACTCTGTGGAATGGACTGACTCACAGACACTGTATGTATTCCCTATAGGTTTCCTAGACATTTCAAACCTTCAGCATCTGAGAAACTTGATCCCTGATGGCAATTATCTCAGCTTTCCTGCTATTGAATGAGGGTCCTGAATTATGACATTTTCCCCATGATTAAACTTGACTAGCTGTTGACAGTCACAAGGTCAGCTCCCATTGAAAAAAGAAGGCTAACATAAACCTAGTTCTTCAGGAGATTTCTTTGCTCAAGGACAGAAGTAAAAAGCAAAATATAAAATAAAAAAAAGAATTGGGCAGCAGAGTCCCTGTTGTCTACTGGTCACTCCCTCCCATTCATCAAACTTCTTCCTATGCCTTTGACCTGAGCAGACAAAAAGATGGAACTCTATTTGATCCTGTTCGATACTTGGGTGAGACAAATGTTACAGCAAGTCAATTGACCCTCATTCAAGTGCTTTGGACACTCAATTCATAGCACATACCTTTCAGATAATTCCCCAGGCTACCTAGCACACATTTGGAAGGCACTCAATAAATACTCCCAGACTGAGGGATTCATCTGTCAATACCTGGCTACAAAGAACTGTGATTTCTTCAGTGAGGGTCCTTACCCCATTGATGCACAGTGCAAACCTTCCTGGATTTTTTTTTTTTATTTTTGGTTGCTGTGATTGAAAAATCCATCCGCTCACAGCTGCCCTTCTGGTAATGAGCATTTCTGAACTCAGCTAGGCTGGTCCTTAGACAACAGAAATGCAATCTGTTCTCTGGTCAATCCCTGAAACATTTCCAGCTTGGAAATATTTTGTACTGGTCTTCATCCCCTAGACCTAGAATGCAATCTATCCTCACTGCTACTTCTCAGAATCCATAGTTTTCTTTCAGCCTCAGCTCAAGCACCAGCTTCTACATAAATTATTTCCTGATTCTTCAGTTGCTAGCTTCCTCCTCAAAGCATCTCTTATCTGTTGTGTGTACTTACATATGTATATATTGTCTTAATCCACTTTCCTCAATCCAGATCACTAGCTCAGCTTAATAAATGTTTATTATCTGATTGTTGCGCTAAAAGTCTTTAGTGAAAGTGAAAGACTCATATATTTGTAAATTGATATAGTCAGAAAAGGATGTTAGAGAGCATTTAGAGCAATCACTACATTTCACAGGTGAAGAAGAAATTGAGGCATAAGTGCATAACTTGCTAAGTGTTGGTGTTATTCATGTATGTACTTCTTACTACATGGTCATACAATAAATAACTTATTTTCCCACTTATTCTCCTCCTCCTCCACAAAAGAATATGGGCCTATTATCATACCACAATAAGCAATTTGGCAGTGAATAAGCCAGGACAGATGAGTGTGGGTGGCAGTCTCAAAACACAAAACAATTACCATAAGCAAATGTCTCCTGAAAAGCTTTTGCTTAAGACTGTAGTTTGTCACCATGTTTTCCATACCAAAGCCCCCTCCTTTGGCTGATACAGTCAGCTTCCCACTCTGCCTTTTCTTTACTTAAAAAAAGTACAAATTCTCTCTCTCTCTCTCCTCTCTCTCTCTCTCTCTCTCCCTCTCTCTCTCTCTCTCTCTCTTCTCTCTTTCCCTCCCTCCTTTTCTCTCTCTACCTCTTTCCCTTCTTCCTTCTCCTCCTTCTTTCAATCTCTCTCTTTCTCTTATCATCTCCATCTCTCTCCCCCACATACAGCCACACATGTACACACACATATAAATACACACATATGTGTGTGTATATATGTATATATAAAATTTTCCAAGTTAAGTTCTTTAAATGTCTTTCCCTTAAAAATTTCCTTTGGGTATGATATATATGTATAACTGACTAACTGTATATACATACATTCTCTCTCTTTCTCTCTCTCTCCTTGTGTGTGTGTGTGTGTGTCTCTCCCTCTCTCTCTCTCTCTCTCTCTTTCTCTCTGTGACATTGCTCATAGGTGGCATGGAGAGATAAGATCTTGAATCTGGCCCATCTTTAGGGAGAGTAGGAAGTCTTGGTAGTTCTAGTGACTTAATTGGGGTCATTGCTAGGCAGGTAGAACCCAGAAGCCATACTGGGCCGTATTTCTTTTAGTATCTAGGAAGGGTATTGAGGTAGAATTATATTTATGTGCCACCCCTCAAGTACCCACCTCTACTCTGGGGTCAGAATGAAAGATGCTTCCCTGGTTGCAGATGATAAGGAATCCCTCAGCCTAGGCCCTTCCTACCAAACACTGTCCAAAAGACCAACACAAATAGTAAGCCTCTTTATCAAAGAAAACAGCAAACAAATAAGACAAGTTATGCACATTAGACTATAACAAAGAATATACAAGAATCAATGAGCTCTTCAACAGAGTATGAGATCAACCGAGGAGAGAGAGAGAGAGAGAGAGAGAGAGAGAGAGAGAGAGAGAGAGAGAGAGAGAGAGAGAGAGAGAGGGAGAGGGAGAGAGAAATAGTCTCTCCGGGGGGAAGTTTGCCTTCAGCAGACTCTAGGATTGCAGGCACCAGAGGTCAAGTGCTATGGGGGGGGAGGGGCAGCTTCCCTACATATCTGTAACTCCAAGCTCCAGTCCAACATTGAAAAGTCTACTCTTTGCCTCTCCGTTGGTGGTCCTCTCATGAGGTCCTCTCTCAAAATATATGGTCAACCAACCGAAATCTTTTCTCTCTCTTTATGCAGCATCATGGGTCACCATTCTCTAAGCTAATAAAGAGTCATATCACCTTACACATAAGCAGAATATACATCATAGGGCTGTCCTTCAGGGGCCACCAAGCCCATCTGGGAATGGAGCAACACTGATACATTTTGTTTGGACACAAATGATGTAAGAGGTTAGGTAAAGAAGCATTTATTAAGCACCTACCATGCACCAGGCATTGTGCTAAGTGCTGGGGCTACAAAGAAAGGCAAAAAACAAAACAGTCTCTGTCCTCAAGAAGCGCACAGTCAAATAGGAGACAAAATATATAAATAATTCTGTACAGAAAAAAAAACTGTTTACGGGAAAAATTTGAGATAGTCATAGAGAAAAGGCACTAGCATTAAAGGGGACTGGAAAAGTCTTTTTGCAAAAGTTGAATTTTTATCTGAGGGGAAATGAGGGAAGTAAAGAAGTAGAGAAAAGGAGGAGAAATTCCTGGCTGTCAGACCTCCAGTGAAAATGGACCTCCACTCAGAAAAAGAAACATCTTGTGCAAAGAAGTCATCAGATTACATGTACCTGTACAGAAGTACAAAGACTGGAAAGGTAAGAAGGGGCCAGGTTATGAAGGACTTTAAAAGTCAAACAGAGGATTTTAAGCTTGAACCTGGGGATAATAGGAAGCCAATGGAGTTTGTTTCACAGAGGCAGTAACACGGTGAGACCAGTGCTTCAGGAAGAACAAATTCATAGTTGATGGACTGGAGTGAGGACAGTATTGAAGTAGAGAGAGCAACCAGAAGGTTATTAACAAGTAGAAATAAGGCTGGCAAAGTGGAGGCAGGATAAGATGAGAGATGGAGGTTTTTTATGAACTGTATTATGAAGATAGAATCGACAGGACTTGGAAATTGATATGATATGGGATGTGAAAGAAAGCTAAGATGATATGAGACCTGGGTAATCAGGAGGATGGTGGCACTCTTGACAATAAAAGAAAGGAGATTAGGAAGAGAGGAGAGCTTGGGAAGAAAGATAATGATGTCTCTATTTTGGCCATATTGAGTTTGACTTATCTACAGGAAAAGAGGTTTGAGATGTCTAATAATCAGTTGGACATAAAGGATTGTATGTCAGAAGCAAGATTTGTGCTGAAAAAAGAGATCTGAGATTCAGCTACATAGAGATAATTAAATGCAAGGAGCTGATGAGATCACCAGGCGAAGTAGCATGGAGGAGGAAGACAAGAAGGCCCAGGACAATTTTTGCAGAACAGCCATGGTTAGAAGCTTTGACCTAGATGAAGATCCAGTAAAGGAGACTGAGAAGGTATGGTCAGACAGGTTGGGAAGGAGCAGGACAGAGCACCTAAACTAAATTCTCTACAAAGTAAATTCCCAGGATATCATCAAAGGAGAGATCACTGAGAGAAGAAATATGTCATTTATGTTTTTTTTTAAGAGAAACATGGTGTTTAATGTTAAAGCTTGGCACACTCCAGTAAGGGGGTTGGACTTGGAGTCATAGCAGCAGGATGGAGGCAGGAGACCCTCCATAGAGGCCTCACATGGTGAAGAGGATGAGGAAGGCTACCATCAAACAGAAGAGCCCCACAGCTTCAGACAGGACAAAGCCTAGGATGGCATAGGAGAAGAGCTGCTGCTTGAGGGACGGGTTCCTGGCATGGATGATGATTAAACTGCCAAACACTGTCCTGATACCTGCCCCTGAGCCAGCCACCCCAACCATGGTGGCCTCAGCCCCAGTGAGCTTGGCAGCTGTGTCGATGTCCCAGGAAATAGCACTGGTCTGGAACTCCTGACGGGCCAGCTGGAGTGGGCTGCTGCTAGAAGTGGGCTGTTCCAAACGGATCTCTGACCTATTCAGGACAGATGCAGATACAGGCCTGACCAGACCCCTGGTACAGCAATGGGTCAGGGCTGGAGAAATGAGGAGAGTCCCCGTGGTCTGCATTCTGCTCTATATGCTCCCAGTTCCAGCGCTTCTCGGCCCCAGAGCCCAGATTCCCGATCCCCCTGCCACATGTCCTG